AAAAGAAGTAGTACGAATTCACAATAGCCAAGATATAGAACCAGCCTAGGTGTCCAACAACAAATGAACAGATAAAGGAACTGTGGAGTATATACACCATGGAGTATAGTTCAGCCAAAAAGAACAAAAATACATCATTTGCAGAAAAACTGATGGAACTGGAGATCATGTTAAACAAAATAAGCCATACCCAGAAGGACGAATATCACGTATTTTTCTTAGTATGCTGAAACAAAAGAGAAGGGGCAAAAAAATGGAAAGTCTACTATCAGATAAGCAGAAAGAAATAGGGGAACAGGAAGAAGTGTAAGGAAAAGTAAAAGAGGGAGATAAATATGATTAAAATACGTTATATGCATATATGAAATACACTGGAACCCAATAGTTTGCAAAATTAATAGGCACCAATAAAAATGTATTTTAAAAAGAATTTAAGCTACAAACAGGGAAAGGGAAGTATAACACAAATAACCAAGAAGGGACTATTATCTAGAATATCTGAAGAACTCCAACAAATCGACATAAAAAGAAAAAAACGCCTCATATGTAGAAGTCTTCATATGTAGACTTCTGTCTAAACTAATAATAGACTGTCTAAAATAACAGACAAAAGACACTAAAAGGCATTTCAGCTGGGTGTGATTGTGCACTCGGGAAGCTGAGGCAGGAGAATCACTGCAGGTTCACAGACAACCTGGGCTACAAAGTGAGTTCAAAGGTCACATGAACTGCCTAGTGAGATCCTGTCCCAAAAAGGACAAAAAAAAGCATTTCACAGAAGACGTATGGCCAATAAACATATAAGGATATGCTGTGTAATCAAGAAAACCCAAATCATGATAATAATGGGATATCATTTAAAAAAATTTTAAAAGTCTGAAAATTCTAAAGCTACAAAATGTGGATTAAAAAGATATCATACCCAATGGTACAATTTGGAAAAATAATATGGTATTTATCTTTTAAAACTAAACATCCTATTCAACTCAACAAATCCATTCCTCAAAATAAAAACACTTGCACACATGAACCAGGACACACAAGACCTGATGCGTGGAAGATGCACAAATAGTACAGCAACACCAGAGACTAGTATACAGCACACAAATGAACTATACTACAGGCAACATGAATTTATCTTAAAATACATTTAACAGGTGAAAAAGGAAATGGGGTAATAGTACATACAGTGTGACACTTTTCATACTTATGAAAAATAACTAAAACTGAACAATATTTATGGTGGGGGTATAGAACAGTGGCAGATTGCTTACCCAGCTTATGTGAGGCTCAGAATTGATTCTAGCACCACAAAATACACAAACAATACTTTATCTCTATATGAGAAAAAAAAAACTTGCTTTTTCAGAAACAAGGATATGAGAACATGAATTAGGAGAGCATCACCATTCAGGCACGGTGGCACACACTTGTAATCCCTACCCTCGAAAGGCTGAGGCAGGAGGATACCTGCAAGTTCAGGCCTGCCTGTGTTACACAGTGAGTCCAAGGCCAGCCTGAACTGCATGGCAAAACCCTGTCTCAAAAAGACAAAAAAAAAAAAGGATAGCATCATCAGAGTTAGGAACGGTCAGTAGGAGGGGACAAGAGAAAACAAAGCAGGACTGTCTCCCATACATCTAATCTAACCATCACCCATCACGTGGCAGCATGCGGGCAGGGTAAGAATAAACTATGCTCTCCTCTAAGGCCACGCGTCCTGATTTGTCTGAGCCACAACACAAAATACCTACATATATCGGGCCCAAGTGCACTGTTCTAGAAGAAAGTTCAGGCATTTTTGTTTGATGTTGAGAAAAGCAAGCTCTCTCCCCTGACCTCCTAAGCATGAAAGAAGAAGCATTTAAGTAGCCACTAGCAGATACTTCTTTTGAAGTGAGCCCAAGGATGAAGACCAAAGATGCGTTATGGTTGGACCAGACCACAGAAAACCAGCAGTACAGTGGTGGGGGGACAGAGAGGGAAAGATGAGGCTGTCCATGTTTTAACCACTCCTTATGGTTTTCACTAAGGCCCTACACGCAGATTGTTAATGCTCTCTGTACTTTTCTATGTTTTCAATTATCAAAATGTATAGTACTTAAAATTCTCAGCATTAAAGAAATTAAATCTTCAGAAAATACTCATTTATGGAAGAAAGTCTTAGGATCCATTTGTTCCAAACTATTGTTTAGGATATCATCTATGTAATAATCAGAAATGATTTGTCAAAAAAACTAACTATAAATTTGGAGGGAAAAGAATTTAATATTAGCCAGACATCGTGGCACATACCTGTAATCCCAACACTCAGGAGGCTGAGGCAGGACTGTCACAAATTTGAGGCCAACCCGGGCCACTTTGTGAGTTGAGGGCCAATTTGAACTACACAGTGAGAATCTGTCTCCAAAAAAATTACATTTTTTTTTTAAAAATTAGGTAATTTTTTGGATTCAAATTTTAACCTAGGAATTATGAAATACAAAGCCTGAAAAACTCAAAAGAAATATTTAGGTAGCCTATGTATCAAAGGGACTCTTTAGCCTAAGTCATAAATTGGCCATTCAATAAAAAGACTAATATTTGAAGTATTTAACACAAAAGATTCTGATTTTTAAAAACAAAACTTTGATAACCAGGTCCTTTCCTTTTTCCAATAAAAAAGCCAAATATAAATAGGGAGTAAAGTAAGTTCTTCTCATGTGCAGATTTCAGGGTTAGTTAAGGTGGAATAATAGATTCTGGTACCCACGGTCAAAGTTAGGTGAACTTGAAAACACAGAAACTCCCCACGGATAGTCTAGATTCCTCACCTCCTCAATCCTGCATCTCTCTCTGTACCTGTTGGCTCTTCACAGGGTGTGCTGCTTGCCTGTCTTCATCTGATGCACTCTGCAGTTCTCCTTCCTTCCTGTCTCTCTGTACAGGTCTACTTTCTCTTGGCCATGTCCCTTACTATCTGTGTACCTTCTCATGTCTGGTTTTCCCATTCTCCCTTTTACTGTTTCTTCATTCTTCTTTATCCTCCATTCTTTAACTATATGCCTGCTATGTTCTGAATGCTTTTGTTCCTTTGAAATTCGTATGCTATATCCTAAACCACAGGGTGTTGGTACAAGGGGCAGAGACTTAGGAAGATACTTAGGCCATGAGGGTGGACCCCATGAATGGAATTAGTCCCCTTAGAAGACAGTCCCCAGTGAAAACTCCTATCCCTCCTACCCGATGAGGATACAGCAAGGCATCATCTAAAAGCCAAAAAGTAGGCCTTCCTAGACACAGAATCCTCTTGACCTTGGACTCCTAGCCTCAAGAACTCTGAAAAATATACTTCTGTTATTTCCAAGCCGCTCATTTTACAGTATTTTCTTACAACAATCCAAACAGACTAACACATCATACTATTTAATTTACTTGATATGATTTTTTTTTTTTTTTTTTGGTATCAGGGATCAAACTTACAACCTGACATTTGCCAGGCAGGTGCTTGTGCCACTGAGTTAAATCCCCAGCTTTGATACAATTCTTAATCCCTGCTTATCATCTTTAGGTAGTAAGGTAATTTTTATATTTGACAATTAAAAGAAAAATACCACTGGGTGTGGTGATGCATGTCTGTAATCCCAGGACTCAGGAGGCTGAGGCAGGAGGACTGCAGGGAGTTCAAGGCCAGTTTGGGTTACAAAGTGAATTCAATGCCAGCCTGAGCTGCATGTGAAATCCTGTCTCAAAATAAGAAAAAAATACCTTTTTAATTAATTTCTGTTGTGTGACCTGTGCACTGCCTTACTCAGTAGGTCAGTGTTATGATAAGATGTTGCTTACTATGCAATAAAAATTTTACAAAGGTTTTAAGTCAAAAGAGTTAGCTGTTAGACAATAATAATTAATCTTATAAATTCACAAATCCACTTTTGAAAATAGTATTAGAATTCTGGGATATTTTTATTTCAAAATTTTCTTGTATACTCTTAATTCAAAAATTCAATTTTCCTTTATATAATTTTCTACTATATGAATATTATATCTAGTTTGAAAATACAGGAAATTTAGTAGTGCCTAAATTATGATTTGGCTTTGACACATCTATGGTTCTATCACTAATTTGGAATCCTAACTACTATAAAGTAGAACTTAATATTTCAAAAATGTATGAACTTGAAATAAGACCACACAGAGAAAAAATAAACCAGAGAAAATTAATCCAACCAAATCAAACAGCCAATAGAATAGCAACAACCAGGAACATGACCTGCTGACTCTTGGAACACCACCGTGCACCTCCTTGCTTCCACCCTTTATAATTTATTCTGTTTAATTCTGTGTTTTTTAATAATTCCAACTTAATTTTCTATGAGTACAAATTTAGCCAATCACTTTAATTTAATTTAATTTTAGTCTTTTTGAGACACTGTCTCACTACATAGTTCAGGCTGGCCATGAGCTCACTTTGTAGCTGAGTCTGGCCTTGAATTTGCAAAATCCTCCTGCCTCAGCCTCCCAAGTGCAAGGATTACAGGCATGCACCATTACACCCAGCTAATCACTTCCATTTTAATTTGAGATATATTTAAATCGTTCTCTTGTTTTATGGTCTACAAGACAATGTCCTTCACTGAAAAACTTTGAAGACATGTATAAAGAGAAAACAGGATACCTGAGTCCAATTATTACAGAATTTTTAAAAATTAGCATTAAAGTCAACTAGATTTTTTTTCATGATCTCATTCACAACTTAGATTTATTTCACTGGTGAGGGAACAACTACATTATGGTACCTAACATTTTACCAAATAATATGTCTCAAGTGTTGTGATTCTTTACACTATTAAAGAACTTAGTATATGACATCCTCAGATAATTGGTCACTGCTGATCAGTCTTGGAAGGGACTCATACTGAATAATTTCCCTTTTAACCATGATTCTAACTTGACAACTCAAGGCAGGGCAGTACCGAAGAAAAGTGACAAAGAGACAGGTATTATTAAAATGAACTAACAAGCCTGGTACTGGCCTGTCATATGCAGCAATCATAAAGTTGAGGAGGAGACTGATAGACTGTTCCACACTGATTTGGTGAGTAGAAGGAAGGCGCTTATTCAGCTGGTAGTAGATGGATGAGATGACAGTTTCAAGGCGGGACACACTTATCTCGGTAGTATGGTCCAGTGTGTTAAGGCCATTATCTCGGAAAGCTTCAATCATGTTCCAGATATCAACGAGATGAACTAAAATATGAAGAAAACAAACTGTCAACAATTTTAAAATGCAGCACGACCTTCGCAACTGGACATTTTATCAACTAGTTTTTCAGGTTAAAAAGAGAAACTTTTAGTAACAATGAACAAAATATTCTGTGGCAGAATGTCAATCCAGATGACATCAAAGAGCCACCACAGATCAGGCCTGCAGCCTTCACATCCAAGCAACTGGCATTTCAGATATCTATAAACAGTGACCCAAGCATACATGTAAATATCCACTGCAGTTAGCAATTAGAAAAGGTGAAAAAAAAAAAAAACAAGAGTTATTCACAAAACCTTTCAGCCTTTTTAAAAAGGAATTTTCTATATCATCTTGAGCCATCTTATTTTATTACTGTAGCATAGCAATTTCAACAACATATACAACTCAAATTTTACTTTCTATAGCATAAAAAGAAAATATAATCACGTTAAGTAAAACCATAATATGCTTTATAGACTACTCATAGCCCTAAACAATTTAAGTCAAAAATACATTTGTCTTTTGATATTTTCCATTAATTAAGAAGTGATTTTTGTTTTAAATTTAGTGTACAATTATATAGATACTAGGATTTGCTGTTCCTTGGAAATAATTAAAAATTCTCAATGAACCATAAAAACAGCATCTTCAGTGGCTCAGGAAAAAAAGTCAATGCTACCCAGAGAAAAGAGAAATTTCCTTGAAAAAGCAAAAGTTAGCATGATATATGAATTCAAACAATGAAGGAAGCAGAATATGGCAAATTCTACTCAAAAGAAAGCTGAAGTAACTTTATTTATAACAAAAGAGTGGTGATTGGAAAACCACATCATGATCTCAGCAGACACAGAAAAAGTATTTGGCAAAGCCCCTTTCATAACAGATGCACCCTGAGTCCATACTGTTAAGTGAAATAAATTGGACATACATGTGTAAATACCACACTATTTCTCTGGCATGAGAGACCAAAAGTGTAAGTAAAGACCAAAATGTAAAATAGGTATTGTGCAATATGAAGAAAATGTTCAAAAAGGGAAGGGGATCAAGGAAGAGGGGAGGGGCAAGGAAAGAAGGGAAATGTATAAAAGAAAAAAAAAATGAGAAAAAAAGGAAAACCAGAAACAAAACTTTTGTAAATGGGAAGGGGAGGAGGGACTGAAGGGAGGACATGGGAGCAGGGGAAAAAACAAGTTGTATCATGTACAAGTACAAATTCTCTATGATGAATGTGATCATTATGAATATCTAATATGCACCAATAAAATCTGATTGGAAAGGATAAAAAGGTCCCTTTCATGATAAGCTGTACAACACAGAGGGGATGGGATGGAACTTCCACAATGGGGAAGACCAAAGCCTTCAGAAGAAGCAACCGAAGGGAAAACAAATACAATGGATGTCATCCAAATTTAAATTCTGGGTGTGGCTTCAGTGCTGTGGCTAGAGACACCGCAGATTTTTCTATCTGTTGCTGCCATCCAGACAGTTCTGTTTGTTCCGTCGCTCTCTCCACACTGCTTTGGGACTTCCGGCTCTAAGAATCGTCGCCACATTTGACTCAGCCAACAACACCCCCTACTCTCATCTCAAAAGAAGAAACAGTTTATGCAGATACCAGCCCTAGGAGACTTGGACCCTGGTTTCCTTTTCACTAGAAGATGATGAGCTGAAGATCTATGAAAGTGATAAGGAGGAGTTAGACCCAGGGGGAAGATGAGCCATGAGACACAGAGCCACAGAAGCAAGTGAAGAGTCAAGAATTGTATATTCCGGACTTCCTGAGAACATGGCGGACAGACAGCAGCAGCTACTGAAGGCTCTCTAAAGGCTCGGCTCAGAGGCCAGGAATGATGCGGACTAAGGAGATACGAACCAGTAGAGATATGCTCTGCTGACTCAGGAACGAACTGGGCTGAGAGAATCTAACTTAGAATACAGTCCTGGCGCTAAAATAGGAACAGAAAAATCTCGGTGTGGAGGCTCGACCCCGCGCCATTGGAAACCGCGGTTTGGATTTCCTGCCGCCCGGCAGCTGGCTGCCTCCACAGCGGCTCGGCAAGGAGAGACGCGCCGAGCTCTGGGAACGGGAGTCTGCGAACGGAGTCGGAAACAGGACGGACAAGGAGGAAAACTGACTGGTGGCGAGGTGAGCAAGAAACTGATCCCCTACCACAGTTTGACTCCAGCGGAGGTTTTTCTGGGCTCGGGCAGTCCTGTAAGAGCAGGGCGCGGTGACAACTCCAGCCGCACATTCCCCTCTCGGACGGGATTGGTGAAAGGTGCCTGGCCTGAGTGACGCTGCTGGCGGACTCCCTAGGCTGGCCTAACCCAGATCCCAGAGCCTGACGGTGGCCCGGAGGAGCGACCGACTCCCGCGTAGGCTGCCTCCTCCGCAACTCCCTGGGGCGCAGCGGTGGGCGGGAACAACTAGCCAGCGCAATTTGATCAGGCTGTGGCTGACAGGCAGGGAAGCCGGGCCTCCTATGTAAGATTGCATTTTATAAGGAACAGAAAATATGGGGAAGGGAAGCAACAAAAAAGGCTCCTCGGCCCCCAATCCTGAGAAACAGGCAATAGTGGACACCGCACCAATATACATTAAGCGCCATCTAGAGAGCCTCACAGACCAATTCAGGAATGAAGTTATCAATGACCTGAAGCTAGAAGTATGCAGAATAGTTAGAGAAATGCTAAGCACCACCCAGGAAAAAGCAGATGGTGGAATGGAAGAACAGAAAAAGAGGGGAGAATTGCTTGATGGAGAAAACAGAGAAAGCATTGAGTATGTGAAGCAGGTTCAAAGAGACTATCAAGAAATTAAGAAGTCTATCCAAGACTGGCATAACAGCTTGAAAGAAACTAAGGACAGACTATCTGAATTGGAGGGCAGACTTGAAACATGGGAGAATGAAATGAAAAACTTCTTAAAAATAACAAAGAAACACACAGCAATAATACAAAGACAAGAAGATGATAAGAGGAGCCGTAACTTAAGGATTAAGAACATAAAAGAAGAAGTAGGGACACAAACAAGTGAACTACAAAAGCTACTCACAGAAATAATCCAGGAGAATTTTCCTAATTTAGCAAAAGCTAAAGATACTCAGATGTATGAGGCATACAGGACCCCAGCTACCTACAACCCTAACAGAGAAACACCCAGGCATATAATAATAAAAATTCCAGAAATTCAATACAAGAACAGAATATTAAAAGCTGTAAGAGACAAGAAACAGATCACTTACAAGGGAATACCCATCAGAATTACAGCAGATTTCTCTTCACAAACCATCAAATCACGAAGAGCATGGGGAGAAATAATTCAAGCTTTGAAAGATAATAATCTCCAGCCAAGATTGAGATATCCTGCACAACTGTCCCTGGAAATTGATGGAAAAACGAGGTGCTTCCAGGATAAAGAGGAACTGGGGGAATTTGCAACCACCAATTCAACCCTACAGAAAGTATTGCAGGATATTCTAAAAAAAGAAAAATACAAAGAACCCAGAAATAGTGGCGAGGAGGCCACAACGAATGGAGCAGAGAACAAAATGAAGAAGACAAACTGACAGCTACTGACAGAAAAAGAGCTCAACAGAAATGAGACAAAGAAGATTGGATGATAGGAACAGCTTTTTTTGGAGAAAATGACATCTTAATAGGTAATGCTGATTTAGTACCATCTTGTTTTGAAGTCTCATCTAGCTTCTGTTCTTCTGTCTCCAATGGTCTAAACAGGTTGTATCTTATTGGATTTTGTTATGTACGATAGTATAAGCAAAAACCTTTTAAAGACAAGGAGATTATACAGAGACCATTGTTCATTTTCTGTTGGTCGATTCTAAATACTCTATAATGCTGTCATTCTCTTAAATGGTTTTACATTGTTTTGATATACTTAATGCTACAGTATATGAAGTTGTACTCAAGGACTTCAGGGAGGGAGTCAATATGGTAACTATTTTTGGGTCAGGATTATCTGGTGGTGAAACACTATTCTGCTTAAATGGTTATGTTTTGATCTGCCCTGTTTCGCTGTTATGCCCTCTTTTTTCTCAATCTCCACTCCATTATTTACTTTTTTATTTTTATCCATTTAATTAAAGGGAAAAATATAGCAGGATATAATATAGTAACCCACTTTGACTTTCTATTATCTCGATTTGAAGCCCTGTATTACTCTCACCATCTTGTTTTTGACTGAGGTTCCTCTATTCTGTTTTGCTGGATAGTATCAGGTTCGAAAGTTTAGGCATCAGCTGAGAAGATAATGAGATTCATTATAACGCCCATTCTCGTTGACTTTTATCTACTTTTGAAGACCTACAATATCTCCAATGTTTTGGTTTTGTCGGTTTTATTCTTTACGGTTTTGTTCAATTGTATAACAACTAATGATATAGGCAATTCTATTAGAAATAGCGGGAGGCATTATGGTAACCATTGTGGATCACCTTGTATTATGTTTTTATATTATCTATTATGTCCACCCTTTTGACTTGACCGATTCTGTTCTGTTATGTCACATTTGGTTTTACTCTCTTCCAAAAAAGCAATAAGAACCGTGGGAGCAATGAAACCCAAAATGTGTAATAGTCATTGTACAAAAGAGAGGAAAAGAAAGTGCTCTAAACTATATAACTGCATGTATATTTAAATGTATAAGATAGAAAATGATATCACAGAGTTTTATTGGATCATTGAACAGAACTGTTTGCAGTATCATTGTTGGAATGTCCACTCTACAAGCTTTAATTTTGTGACTTGAACAATTATTTCTAAGATGACAATATGTAATCCATTAACTAGTGATTTCCTACTGTGCATTTTTTTCTCCTGTAAATCTGTATAACTTGTACCCCTTCACTGTTTTTTTTTCTTTCCTTTTCTCCTTAAATAAAAAAAAATAAATAAATAAATAAATAAATAAAAAACAAATTTAAATTCTGGTGCTTCCAAAGACACTAGTCAAAGAGTGAAAAGGCAGCCTAAACGACGGAGGAAAATACCTGTAAGCCATGCATCAACAATGGATCCAGAATATATAAAAATTCTGACAAATCAAGAAAAAAGACAAGCGCCAGGTGTGGTGGCACATGTCTCTAATCCCAGCACTCTGGAGGCTGAAGCAAGATTATCACTGCAAATTCCAGACCAGCTTGGGGTATACAATTTCAGGCCTAGCCTGATCTATACAGGAAGATCTTGTCTCAAAAAAAAAGATAAATATCCAGTTCAAAGATGAGCAAATAAATGGATGTTTGTCCAAAGAAGATAGCCAATATGCTTTATGAAAAGATGCTCAGTATCACTAGTCATTAAGCAAATGCAAAACAAAAGTACTGTACAATGATATACTACTTCATATCCACTAGGATCTTCTAATTTTTATATAGAAAATATCAACTGTTGGTGAATATTTGGGAAAACTGATTCACATTCAATCAAATTATTCATAAAAATCAAAGAGCAGAGTTGGGTGTGGTGGCACACAACTGTAATCCTAGCTATTAAGGAGGCTAAGGCAAAAAGATCACAAGTTTGAGTCCAGCCTGGACAAACTAAAAATGGCTGGGGATGGTAGTGCACTCACCTAGCATACATGAGGCCTTGCACCCAATTCCCAGCACCAGTAGAAACAACCCAAACATCCATTAATGTTGAGTATAAATAAAATCTAGTAAAGGCATGGAAAAGAGGATGATTCAGCCATAAAAAGAAACAAACAGGCATTATATTAGCTCAATGACTATAGAATATGCTGGGCCAGGGATATAGCTCAGTGGCATAGTGCCTGGCAAACATGAGGTCATGCATTCGAATCCCTATTTAAATAAGAAAGAGAGACAGACAGACAGACAGACAGACAGACGGAAAGACAGAAAGACAGAGAGAAAGACAGACAGACAGACAGACCTATCCTTACTCTTCAAGAATATGAGGAATATATATAAAAACGGTCAATAAGCCAGGGGTGGTGCTCGGTGGGAAACACTTGTCTAGCATGCATGAAACCATCCCCAGGACAAAAATGAAATGAAAACTGACTATATAACCTGAGTGTTAAGTAAATCTCAACACATTTCAAAGGATTAAACCAGTGTGAACTATGCAATTAAAACATAACTAAAAAGCCATTACCAAAAACACTTTTTTTTTTTTTTTTTGAGTCTTTTTGAGAAGGGGTTTCTCTGTGTAGTTCAGGCTGGTCTTGACTTACTCTGCAACCCAGAGCCTCGAACTCAGAATGATCCTCCTGCTTCAGCTGCTTGTGTGCTGGGATTACAGGCATGCAGCACCACACCCAGTGCAAAAGACAACTTTTAAAATAAACCATACCTTTAGAAATGAAGAATCACCCTCCCAGCGAACTTAGCTAATCTGGCTCAAGTTATGTATCTACAAAGATTCTACAGCAAATCTATCACTCCCAAGGGAAATGCTGAAAGCCTTTGCTCTGATACTGGGAATGAGATACAGATGCCCACTACCACAGTGCTACTATAGTTAAGGCCTAACCAATATAAATATGCAGGATAAAATAACAATCAGCATTGGAAATAAATACAGTGGAAGTATCAGAAATAAATAAAACAGTTATTAAATGACAAAATTGTGCACACAAAAAAATCATAAACACATAAAAGTTACTAAAATTAGTATGTGGATCCAGAACAACTAGATAAAAGACCAAAATATAAGTCATTTTATGCCTTATATTTCAGTGATATACAATGAAAATTTGAAATACTATGTATAGTAGTATCATAAGTCACAAAAATCTAGGAATAAGTTGAATGAAGGTTGTGTAATATCACTACAAAATATAACCGGTAAAAACTAAGGACCCAAATAAACGGAGGATTGCTACACCATGAGTACCAGGAGAAAACTTCAATACTGGAAATATGCCAATTCTCCTTAATTTGCTCTACAGATTCAAGCAGTCCCAATAAAAATCCCAGCTGGACTAGACATTAAAGAAGTATAATAGTACATTATATATAAATTATACTTGAAAACAGAAATCGCAAGAGTTTTATTTCATTTCTAGTAGCAGTTGAGCAGCAGATTCTAAATTTTATATCAAAAAATTCACAAATATACCAGGTAATATTTTTTTTTAAAGAATACATGAGCTGGGGATTTAGCACAGTAGCATAGTGCCTGCCTGGTAAGCAGGAGATTATGAGTTCGATCCCTAGTACCAAAAATAAAATAAAGTAAAACATTTTTTAAAAATAAAAAATAAAGTAGGAAAACTGACTTCAAGCAGACTTATATATATGAAACTATATACACACACACTTATGTACAAACATATAAAACTATAATGCTGGCTGTTGGAACAGTAGGATGTTGGCGCAAAGACAGACCAACTGTCTTACTTTTCTCATTGTTGACACAAAAATCCAATGTGAAAAGTTAAAGGAGTGATGGTTTATTCTGGGTCACAATTTGCAGAGGTTTCAGTTCACAGTTGGCAGCTCCAAGACAGGGTGGCATGGCATCACAGAGGAGAAAATAGTTCATGGCAGCAATAGTGAAGTAGCAAAGAGGCAGTAGCCATGAAAAAAGCTCTCTTTCTGACCCTTCTATTCTACGCAGGCCACACACCCTCAGGGCAGGCAGCACTCACAGCGAGGCGGGCCTTCCCATTATCCACATCCAGAACTATACCAAATCAATCAGTGGACTAATTTAGTAATTACACACTTAATGCCAGCATCACTCTCCAGATCCAGCCACCTCTGAAAAACCCCACCTACCGCCACATGAGGGTTTGGGGAGGACGTATGGACACAATCCATAACACTGGCTTATGGAAAAGAAGACGGTCATAGATAGATCTTCTCACATATGGACACTGCTATAAATACTCTTGTACTTTCCTCCTAATGAATGTGAGAGGATTTTCTGACAGTAAAGAAAAAGAATGACCTTTTCAATGAATGGTATAGAGACCAGGAAAGATACACATGGGCAAAACTTAGGGTTAACTTCTACTTGTGTTGCACACATACACCCCAAAATTTCAAGCTAAATTTTAGAATCATATGTGAAAGATAACCAAATAAAACTTAGAAAAATGCAAGTTTTACTTTGACATTGCTAATGTCACTAATCTAATTTAGGCTATCAATACTCTAGACATAGATTACTATTTTCCATGAATTATTATGGGAAGAATCATAAAGGTTACTAACAGTGGTTTTCAAATGTTTTCGCTACAACCCACAGAAGTAGATTCAAATCATCACATGTACACTTGTCTAGATATACAATAATTTCATAAAATATTTTTCATGCATAAACTAAACTCTAACATTTTGCCCTTTTTCTTTGGTATTACACATCTCAAATTATGGCTACCACCACCAAAATGATTTCATAAAACATTAATTGCATACATTGGTAATATAAAAAATTACACTTCGGGAAATCACTGAAGAAAGAATCATGACTTCAGTCTAGGATGATAGGACAAATTCTTGGAAAGAACTGTATGCTAGTATTTGTAAGTGGTAGAAATTATCAGATACAATGTGATCTGCTCAAGTCACTTGTTTATAATAAATGGTAAAAAGCCTAAGCTGAACATTTCAATCCTCAGGCTAATGTTCTTTCCATTATAGTTTCTCACAGGACAGTGCACAGACATGCACACAAGAAAAGCACTGTAATTCATAAGTGAGTTCATCTTTATGGAGATTAATATACATACATATGCAGATAAATACACACACTAGCTTATAACTCATATGATAGCAATTACTATTAGAAAAGATTGATTTGTGCTACATTCAACTCAATCAAGAAAATAATTATATCTTTATCAAAATATATTTTTCCTCCAGAAGCTAACAAATTATATTAGTTTCATTAATATTAACAAGGAAAAAAATCAGTTCTTCTACTTAACATTAACAGCATGCCTTCCTCAAAACAATTACATTATTGTTAAAATTTTAATATAGGATTAAAATGACAAGTTCTCTCCATTATAGTTTATATGTTAATAACTAAAACAAAACAATTCAATTAACATAAGAATATGAAATAAAAGATATTAAAATACTTTACTTTATACTATTAAGAGGCTTAACTGCCACCACAGTAATGAGGAAAAAATGACTTACGGTTGCAACGTTTTTGTACAAATCGTAATTTGCAAGCTGTTCTGTAAGTTGATAGACGTATGATATCAAAATTCTGAGCACCTGAAAAAGGGCAAATAAAACGCTTCAACTAAATTTGCCATTTAATTTCTAAATGCTAGGAAGCGTGGTTCCCTATTCAAGTCAAGTAAGCCTTCTGATAAAAACCAACTGGGGGCTGGGGATTTAGCTCAGCAACATAAGCACCTGCCTTGCAAGCAGGCAGTCGTGAACTCGAACCCCGGTACTGATAAAAACAACAACAAAAAAAACCAAACTGGAGGAAGGAAGAGCTGAGAAACATCCTCTGCCTGCCCACTACACACCAGGACTCTACCAAAAGCTCTGCCTATTATCATCATCTCCTCTAAGGGGAGGAACACTCATGTCCCAAGTCACTTGTTTATAATACATGGCAACTATACATGACTGAGTGAATACACAAGTGATCAGGAAATGGGAGCAGAGTGGTAGAGCAGGAAAGACCCAAGCCTTGAGACTAGAAAACTAAATTCCAGCCCCACCCTGGCCACAAAATAGAATACAACTGTGCCTGTGCCACACACCTCTTCTCATCCTCAATGTCCTCATCAGCAAGCTGAGGCCTCCTTCCACAGTGGTGTCTCCAGAGCAGTATTTTATGCTCTTCCAGTATAACATCCCTCTCTATGAGGCACTGAAATTATTTCTCTCCACTCAAATCTGAAAGGCTGTTGTGATGCCTCAGCAGAAATCACAGTGCATGACTTCCACAGACCGGTGATAAAAGGCAGACAGCTACCCTTGCTTTCACTCTTTCAGGATGCCTACCTTGGGGGCTCAGACCCCACACTGTGGGGCTGTGCAGACTACAGTACTGAGGGGTGCTATGCAGAGGAATTAAGTCCACAATCACAGGGCAGCACCAACAGTCACCCATGTAAGGCTGCAACCTTCAGGTGGCGCACACCCTGAGCCTCCTCCTTATTCTAGCAGAGTCAAGAAGTCAGCACTGACAAGAAGTCAGCGGAGTCAAGAAGTCTGAGGCGTAGCTCCATGGCAGAGTACCTACACGGCATCGGTAAGGCCCTAGGTTTCATCCCCAGTATCGGCAAAAGAACCTCAGCACTGTACGCCATTCTAAGCCTAGAACAGCAAAATACACAAACAAAATAAATGACGGTTTGAGGGTAAGATACAGTCACTGTAACCAGAACAGAGCCTAAAACTTCATGAGTCTATAAATCAAGCTTTGTTCTCATTTCAGAATTTAGTATAAATGAAGTCTCCTTAAATTTTAAGGTCATTTTAGAAAGCTGTGGACCCTAATGTGAGTTTCTTATTCATCTATGCTGCCCCTGTAAGATCTGGCAGCAACCTGAGTAAGAGGAAAGTGTACTGGCACAAATTACTTTCTACTAATGTTTACTGGCATCTCCTGTTTCTGTTCATTTCACATATAGAGGGAGAAAAGAAAGACTTTTTCAGGTTTTTGTGAAAGTATTGTTTATGGGCCAAAAGAAAATATTTCTCATTCACTTCCACCTATTCCTTGATGTCATAATTAAAATGATTTCTTCCACCAGCTGGTTCTCACAAAATTTCTTTTCTTCTATATATTATGTAGTTCTACTTATTTTTTAACATAAAAGCATTATAAAAATACAACACATACACCCTACAATTTGCCACTAAAAGTACAAAATTCAAAATCTTACTATTCAAAGAATTGTACATTCATTACCAAAATCAACTTACAATACTTTCATCATCCCAAAAAGAAACTTTTGCCCCTTAGCAATGACTCTGCTCACTGTCTGTCTGGGGTACGTTATAACAAAAAGCTCTCCTTTATTCTAGATAGCAGGCAAGAATATATGACTTGAAATTAGTTCTTATTTTGTAGGTAATCATTTGATTCTTGCTGACTCTTCATGTATCCACTGAAGCACAACAGTCTGTCATTTTGATGAAGTCTAATTTCCAGAAGTCAAAGTTACAGAAAGACAATGCTTAATTTTGTTACTGTTGATGTTCATCATTAAATACCTAAAACGAGGATGTAATAGAGATAGCACCTAATGTGCCTATTGGGTAAATAAACACATAAAAATAAGAAAGTTCTGTGTCGCTGGTACAAAAAATCCTCATCTGCTACATGAAGTCAAAAGGTTAGACAAACTACTGCATAGATACAATTCAGGACACTAACAAAGACAGGCTAACAGTGGGAGATGATAAAAACCATGGGAGCTGAGTATGGTGGCACATACCTGTAATCCCAACTCTCTAGGAGACCTGAGGCAAGAGGACTGTAAGTTCAAACCTAGACCAGGAAATTTACAGCTTAGTGAGGCCTTGTCTCAAAAATTTCTTAACAAGGCAACCCAGTATGAATGCCCTGGGTTCAGTCCCCAGTACCACAAAAAGTGAATGAATGAATGAACAAATGAAATGAATACACATATGTATATATGTATATATCCTGTGGGGACTCTGGCTTCTTTTCCCATGTACAACAGTGTGTGCTTCAGCCCTCCTTAGGTAGGGCAAAAGATTCAAAACTGTGTTCCCAAGAGAAAAATATCTGGTGGAGGTGCTCAGTGAACCAAGGGAACTGCGAGTTCAAGGCCAGTACGTACTACAAAGTGAGTTCAAGGCCAGCCTGAACCATATAATGAAACCCTGTCTGAAAAAGACAAAAAAAAGAGCCAGGCATGATGGCATACACCTGTAATCCCAGCACTAGAAGATGGAGGCAGGAGGACTGCCATGAGTTCCAGGCCAACCTGGGCTAAATATTGCGATCCTATCTCAAAAAAAAAAAAAAAAAAAAAAGGAGCTAAACAGAGACAAAAGTCTATTTGTGGAACTAAACATCATACATAAAGGAGGTACTATTGAAACATTGTAATGGTCTTATATTTCTTTGAATGATGTCATAAATATTGGTAAGGTTTGGGGTTTTTTTATTTTTTTATTTTTATTTTTTTTTGTCTTTTTGGTTTTTACCAGTACCAGGGATCAAACTCACAACACACTTGCAAGGCGCTTATGCTGCTGAGCTAAATCCCTAGCCCCTTGGGTTTTATTTTAAATAATGTTAAAATTTCTAGGTAAACACAAAAAGAACAGAAAACTCAAAACAGGCTGGGGATTTAGCTCAACGGCACAAGCACCTGTCTTACAAGCACACAGTCTTGAGTTCGGTCCCCGGTACCAAAAAAAAAAAAAAAAAAAAAAAAACTCAAAACCAAGTAGAGGGCATCAATGGAAGGAAGAAAGCCCAATTCATCTAAGAGAAGGCAAAGGAAAAAAAGGACCAAACTGAAGCAAGTAAATTGTAAAAAATGTAGTATCACAAAAAAGGCTAAGAAGAACTTTAGTGAAAAAGCAAAGACTGTCACACTGACTTTTTTAAAATTTTAAAACAAAAAAATGATGATCCAGAATTTCAAAATGAAATAATGGGAGATTAACAATGGTTAATATATTGTGTACTGTTATCTTCAAAGTAGTTGCTCAGGTTAAAAAACACAGGCAGGAAGCTGGCAGGGCTGTGGGGAAAAAGGAACCCTTCTCCACTGTTGGTGGGAGTGGAGACTGGTACAACCACTGTGAAAATCAGTGTGGAGATTCCTCAAAAAACTAGGATTGAAGGTCCCATTCAATCCAGCTATTCCCCTTCTAGGTATTTTTCCAGAAGAATTCAAAACAAACCACAGTGATATATGTGCACCTGTGTTTATAGGAGCACAATTCGTAATAGCTAAATCTTTGAAATAACACTGACTTTTTAAAAATAATCTCTTTCACTGTTTACAGGAGACAAAGTATTAAGGACTCAGAAAATTTTAAAGAAAAACAATGAAAATAGTTATACTACACCACATATGTTAACAAAAAGAAAGCTAGTGTAGCTACATTCCTATACAAAAAACAGATATTAAAACAAAACAATTAGAAAAGGGCTGCCTACAGATGAGGGTCCTCACTCCAAAAGTACAAAATCCAAAGCCTCTTGAGCATCGTGCCATTTATGATTTAAGAAAATAATGATGACTCTTCATATAAGAGAAGTTCCATAACCTGACAAACAATATGAAACTTATAGCAAATATCATTCTTAACAATATTAGAAGCACTTCCTTTAATGTAAAAAACCACACAAGTAGGCCTACCATTCTCCTTGCTCTTCAATATAACATCTGAGAGCCCAACTAATACATTAGTTCAAGAAAAAGATTTACAAAATGCATTATTTAAAATTGTCATTAAAAATGGTATACTTACCTACCCAAGTAGAATTTATAACCGTTAAGTTTAAAGAGGTGTGATGACTGACACACTAAAATCAAAACACCTAGGTGATACACTTGAGTGATAAGGCTAGAAACAAATGCCTGGACAGCCACAGGAAGTAATTACACTGGGGTTGTGGGTGACACTGTTTGGCAGGAGAGACAGGGCCTTCCAATAGTGGACCAATACAAATCTTTCTGTGAAGAAATGGGGAGAGGGGGTGTCACCCAACACCTCCCAGACTGTCTTAAACTGTCAGTTGGTTATAGAAAGAGCATTTGTATGATGTTTATCAGTTAGAGTAACAACATTCTCAACGTTAAGATTGTTTCAAAGTCTCCCAGAGTCACTCTCTTTCACATGCCCATGTTTATTTAGGTACAGCACACAACACAACTACTTCTCAGTATCAGAAATTATTGTATTTATTTATTTGTCTTCTTAGTTTATCTGTTGTACTTTATTAACCTGTAAGCATCAGAGGTAAAATCACGGGACTGTGTTTTACTCTCAACTATTACCCTAGTATTTAGAATAGGGACCAGAAAATAGTAAATTCTAAATCATCAGTGGCAAAATTTTAGAGCTTTCAGTGATAGCAAACAGCCCACTGCAGCATGCATGCCACAGATTTGCCACCACTGTCATGCTAAACACTGATGGAGAAATGACCCCTTGAATCTTGAAGGTAGTCAGAGGCAGTCTGCCAGATAAGGAGGGAGATAATGGAATTAGCAAAGGCACAAAGACATGAAACAGTGTGACCTATCCACAGGAAAGCCATGCAAGGTGGTACAGCATCTTAAATGTCTCTGAGCAGCCCATTGTTAAAAGGCTGGCATTACTGGAAAGTGAGGGCAAAGGGGACAGCGGGGCATCAGCTCCTTCTCCCTTCTCTACTGCTGTCATCAGGTGAGCAGCTGCTTCATCACTACACACCATGATGAGCCAAAGGAAACAATCATAGACCAAAACCTCCACAACTGGAAGCTGGAATAATCCTTTTTTTAAGCAGTTGATTGTCTAGGGTATTCTATTATAGTGACAAAAAGCTAACCCACAAGGCATGTGATACAAACGGGGAACTGAAGAACAAACATCATAAGACATCATCAAGATGACAGCCCTAAGATATCATCAAAGTGATAAAAAGCAAAATAAAGAAATGTAAGTAAAGAGTAACATGGAGTCACATGATTCAATAAAGCACACAAATAGATTTGAGAGGCCCAACTGGACAAAAGTACCAGAAACTTACTGCTTTAGTTCAGAGAAATAACAGTGGTTTAAAACCATTGTAGGCTGGGTTTCTGTCTCCACTCTCCTGCTACAATCATGCAGCGTCAATTTTATAATACTCCTCTGCTGGGTATATGCTTGAAGTAGTATCCTTTGAAAAGGTTTCACAATCACTGGTCCAGATCAATCGCCCTATGCTAAAAATGCCAAAAGACTCTGAGATTCAGTAAGTGTGAACTAGTCAAAGTCACACGGTCAAAATCACCAAGATAAGCAGTCAAACAGCAAAACAGCCCTTCAAATATTGGGAACCACCTCATTCCTCTCTGATATCTTCTGTTTTAAGTCCCATTCCTCCTTCTCTAAAGCTTGTAACAAAAGTTCTGATCAAAGCCAACCTGAAGAGTGAAAGGAAACGTTCTGCACACCAGAACAAGGGCCCCGGAGCTGTGGAAACTCACGCATTTCTAGGAACAGCTGCCTCTTCTCCGCCATGGTCTTGCGCTTGTTCCCACTTTCCTCAATCATCCTAGAGACAATGAAAGACATGGTAAACCGCCGTGCAATTTATAATTCAACCAAGCCACTTTTCATTCTGTTGTGAAGAAGTACAGGAAGCCACCCTGACTGTGCACATTTTAAGACAGTCTAAACACAGTGGGATCCTAATACAGATAAAGGCAAGCCGCTGTCCCTTTATTTGGTAGCTTTTAAAATACTGTTTAGCTTCTTCATTAGTGTAAGTTTATAATACATAATGATTATATTCATCGTGGGAAACTGGTACATACACGTATCACATCTTCATCACTTATTTACTCCCCCATCCCTTCTCTGCCCTCCCATCTTCTTCCATTCCTCTGATTCACTTCCCACCTCAACGAAGTCTATATATAGCCATAAATGACCTTGTACGCCTGCTTTCTGTCCCAGGTTAAAAAAAAAAGAGGAAAAAACAGAATAAAACTAGTCAAAACAAATCAGTGTCACACAGGACTTCAAAACATTATGAAATCAACAACAGTTACCATAATGCCTTTGGATGCCTTCAAAATAGCTGCAGGTAACTTTGGACATAGTAAAAATCAAACAGAATCGAATAGAATAGAAACAATAAAAACAAGACAATGAATGCAATAAAGGAGTTCAAAATAAGCCAATAGTAAATCCAAAATGGCTACCATAATATATCTTGCTATCTTTGAAACTGCTGCTCCTGCTATGTCTTATTTCTAACTTAATTATTTTTTCTACAGGGTCCTGGATTAAATGAGACACAATTTCATATATCATCACTGCTTTCACAAACATGTTACTAAATATAATTCAGGAACTAATATAAAGAAAAGCTATAATAAAGTACATAAGAATAGTGCTTTTAAACAAAAATGATATAGGTAAGATGTTCGTGTGTGTGTGTGTGTGTGTTTGAGACAAGCCTACACAGCCTAGGCTGGCCTCAAGCTTTTGATCCTACTGCCTCAGCCTCTTGAAGTGCTGGAATTACAAGTGTACACCACCACCATGAAAACAGAAGAAAATGAATCTTCTATTTTCATGTCAAACATCTCCAAATCCTAAGAGCTCCTAAATGTACCTTTTCTATCACGTTATAGTCTTTTATGCTGACAGACTTAGGTTATGCCACGCACTTTGCTACAAGTGTATAGGTAATAAGTTCAGTATGATGGCAAATACCTGTAGTACCAGCTACTCACAAGGCTGAGGAAGGAAGAGTTAAACCAGGAGCTCAAGACCAGCTTGGGCAGCACAGAAAAGACACTATCTCAAAAAAAAGCAAACAAACAAACAAACCCCCAGAAAACTTCTGCTTGCATTCATGCATTATCTCATTTAATCCTCATGTAAAAATTACACACTATTATTATTACTATTATCATCTTTTTATTTTTTTTTGGTTTTTTAAAATTTGATTTAAAGAAAGACTAAACAAAACAGAAGATAGGTAGAAATAATACATACATTCAGAGAAAAAATAAATAGTAAGAAATCACTAGTTGATGTTTATGTACTGTTGTTTTACAAATAGTTGTTCAAAATACAAAAAAGGAACGTGTAGAGTGTGGAAATTCAAACAGTGACACCGCAAACAGTTCTGTGGAACTGTCCAACAAAAACTTAGTAACATGGTTGTCAATCTTATACACTTAAACATACATGCAGTTATCCATATCTTCATTTATGTTTAGATTAGACAAACTAAAGCAGGTTAAAATCATTCTGAACAAAGAATAGTACTGCTGGATTTCACATGACACTCCGTGATGAGCACTGGGTATTATAGTGTCTTTTTTTAAAATTTGATTTAAAGAAAGACTGAACAAAACAGAAAATGGGTAGAAATAATACATAATTTCAAAGAAAAAAAATAAACAGTAAGAAATCACTAGTTGATGATTATAGATTGTCTTCTTACAAATAGTTATTCAAGATACTAAAATGGAGCATATAAAGTGGGGATTCAAACAGTGAGACTGCAACCAGTTCTGTTCAACTATCCAACAAAAACTTAGAAATATGGTTATCAATCCTATACACTTAAACATACATGCAGTTATCCATATCTTCAATTATGATGAGATTGAACAAACCCAAGCAGGCTAATATCACTCTGAACAGAGAATAATACTACTGCTGGGTTTCACATTATGACACTCCAGGATCAGCACTGGGTACTTTAGTGTCTCTTTTTCTTCAAAGTATCTGTTCATTTCATCATGTGTCATAAGATCAGTCCTCATAAACTGTTTATAGATTCTACACATTCATGAATCTTAACATGTATTTCTATCCTTTCTATATTAGAGAAACAAAACAAAGCAAGGCAAAACAAAATATACTCCTATAAACAAATGAAACAAAATAAACATATAACACCATTGTACAAAGAGTTCTACCATGGTTCCTGTGTTTTCTCTTGTTATCTCCAATATAATTGGCTATATCATCAGACATAGCATAATTAAATATATCAGTACATAACAGTATTAATAAAAACGCAACTTTGTATATAGTATAGAACTTCAAAAACTGGCAGTTATCAAACCAGAATGTGTATTGTAGAGTCTTGTCATCTTCAGTGTAGTTGCCTATACTTTCAGACTTGATACTATCAATCATATCAGTTTTGAATAAAATCTTCTCTGCCTCATTTCTGTTATGCTCTTTTTTTGCCATCAGTTGTCTGCTTATCTTCTTCATTCTGTTTTCTGTCCATTCATTGAGGCCTCTCTGCCACTGTTCCTGAAATCCTACTACTTTTCTCTCTCTCTAGAATGCCCTGAAGTATTCTCTGTAGAGTTGGATTGGTGGTTGCGAATTTCCCAAGTTCCTCTTTGTCTTGGAAGGATCTGGTTTCTCCATTAATTTCTAGAGACAGTTTAGCAGGGTATATCAATTTGGGTTGGAGGTTATTTTCTTTCAGGGCTTGGAATATTTCGCTCCAGGCTCTTCTTGACTTGATGGTTTGTGTCGAGAAGTCTGCCATTATTCTAATGGGCCTTCCTCTGTAGGTTATCTGTTTCTTGTCTCTAACAGCTTTTAATATTCTGTTCTTATATTGAATTTCTGGGATCTTGATTATTATATGCCTGGGTGTAGCTCTGTTATGGTTGTAGGTGGCTGGAGTTCTGTATGCCTCATATATCAGAATATCATTTCCTTTTCCTATGTTTGGGAAGTTTTCTTTAATTATTTCTGTGAATAGCCTTTGTAGTTCCTTTGTTTGTATCCCAGCTTCTTCACTTACATTCTTTATTCTCAAGTTATAGATCTTTTTGTCCTCTTCTAGCCTTTATATTGTTACTGCTTGTTTCCTTGTTATTTTTAAAAAGTTTTCCCTTTCATACTCCCACATTGCAAAATTGTCCTCCAGTTTGGATAATCTAGCCTTAGTTTCTTTCAAGCTGATTTGCCATCCTTCCATAGAGTTTTTAATTTCCTGGTGATATCTTTGAATCTGCTTCATGTATTCTATATTTTTTTTAAATATTCTTCACCAAATGATTCTCTCCTGTGTTTGAGTTCCTCCCTTCTTCCATCTGTGTCTGCTTTGTGGGGTGCTTAGTATCTCTTTTATTAATCTTCTTATACCTTGCTTTATTTGACTAAATATTTCACTTTTGAACTTGTCTATGAGGTCCTGAATATATCTCTTTACATCCACTGGCGTTATGTCTGATATTGCATGTTTGCTGTTCTCATTCTCCCTTGTATTTACCTGTCCTGGGTCACTGTTCTCAGGGTTGGGGCCTGGAGACTTTTTGTTGTTGCTTCCTCTTCCCATCTTTTTTGCTTCTTCCAGGAGGCTGCAGTTTCTTTCTTTTTTGGTTACAATTCTTCTGAAGCGCACTGGCTAGATGACCCTTCACACTCTATCATCTCTTTTTCATAGATTAGGAAACAGATACCTAGAAAATTGTACTAACTTGCTAAAGGGCACACAATTCATAAGTGGTAGTGCAGAATCCCAATAACAATGATTAAACTTCTTACATAATTCCTGCAGATGCGTATTTTCACTCTCTATTTGTAAAAGGCTAGAACACAATAGTCCATTATATGGATGCTACTAATATAAAATTCATGATTTTTTTTTAAACAGGGTCTCACTATGTAGTGTAGGGTACCCTTGAACTCACAGTGATCCTCCAGCCTCAACTTCCTGAGTGATAGGATTAGAGTTGTGTGCTACCATGCCCAGCTTAAAATTTTTTCTTCAGCAAAAACTGTCATGAGGTGTGGGAGACAACTCCAGTGAATCCCCTTGAATGCAAAACAATTACTGTGACTTTGCTTATCTGGAGACAGTTCATTACACTGATATGTAGAGAACTGGCTATGGGATTTCCTTCTCTCTTCAATTGGCTCCAAGTATTGCAAATAAGGCTAGTCGAGGTGCTGGTATGTAACCTCTAAAGTATGTAACCTCTAAAGTCGACAGACAATCTTGTCTCCTCACATAATGTTAGCATAATGTTCTCCGTGTACAGGATATGAGCACAGTGGGATGTTAGAGCTAACAGCTCAGGGAATGTCAAGTGGGTAGGAGCCTCAAGGTAAAGAGGCTATGACTCCCCAGGGCACAAAAGTTTGCATATCAGAAACTGAAGCCAGAGCCTCTTAAAACAATTCAGTTGCTACCTTATCTTTATCTCTGCAATTTACGGAGGTGCCTTTCTTTCACCTGGGTAGCCAGCTCAAGTTACTCATGTAATTTCGACCATCCTCACTGTCATTCATCCCTGAGCCACCCTCCTTCTTCACAAGATAATACATGCTGGGAGAGGCCTAGGATCAAGGCCTTTGCCCACATGTCCTTATGGGAATTGGACTTAGGACTCCTTGGCTGCCCTTAATTGGATCATGTCCTAGTGTCTTTACTCTGGCCATGGGTTACACTGGTGGTGGCAGATTAACTTGCTGGGATTCCAATGATGTCTCAATGATATTACAAATATAACCTTTTGGAATGGAGGAAAACTGGAAAGAGGAATACAATATTTGGAT